AAAAAAAAAAAAAAAAACAAAATTCATAAAGGTGAAATTGGTGAACTAGGTCAGCTTGATCTTTATTTTTTTAAATTGGCAAATAATAATTAGACATATACATGGGATACTCAGTGATGTTTCAATACATGTAATGTATGGTGATCGGATCAGTGTAATTAGCATATCCATCATCCCAAACATTTATCATTTCTTTGTATTGGGAACATTCAGTATCCTCCTTCTATCTATTAGAAACTACCTATTATATTATTGTTAACTATAGTCATCCTTCAGTGGCATACACTACAACTAGTCCTCCTAGCTAGGTGCAATTTCGTATCCGTTAACAAATCTCTCCCTATCCCTCCCTTCTTCCTACTTTTCCCAGCCTCTAGTATCCTCTGTTCTACCTTTAACTTCTATCACATCAATATTTTTACCTTCCACATATGAGCGAGAACATGTGGTATTTAATTTTCTGTTCCTGGCTTATTTCACTTAACATAATGTCTTCCAGTTCCGTCCACGTTGCCACGAATGACAGGATTTCATTTTTAATGGCTAAATAGTATTCCATGGTGTATATATACCACCTTTCCTTTCCTTCCCTTTCCTTTCGAGACAGGGTCTCACTCTGTCTCCCAGGCTAGAGTGCAATGATGTGATCATAGTTCACTGTATCCTCTATCTCCTGGGCTCAAGCAATCCTCCTGCCTCAGCCTCCCAAGTACCTGAGACTACAAGGCATGTGCCACCATGCCCAGCTAATTTTTAGAATTTTTCGTAGAGATGAAGTCTTTCTATGTTGCCCAGGCTGGTCTTGAACTCCTGTTCTCAAGCAATCCTCCTGCTTCAGCCTCCCACATTGTTAGGAATATAGGTGTGGGCCACTGGGCCTGGCCCCACATTTTCTTTATCCACTCATCTGTTGCTGGACACCTAGGTCGGTTCCATATCTTGGCTATTGTGAACAGTGCTGCAGTAAACATGAGGGTGCAGATACCTGTTCAATGTAACGATTTCCTTTACTTTGGATAAATTCCCAGTAATGGGATTGCTGGATCATATGGTAGTTCTATTTGTAGTTCTTGAGGGATCTCCATACTGTTCTCCATAATGGCTGTACTAGTTTGCGTTCCCCCCAGTGTATAGGACTTCCCTTTTCTCCACGTTCTCACCAGCATTTGTTATTTTTGTGTCTTTTTGATAATAGCCATCCTAACTGGGATGATATAATACCTCATTGTGATTTTGATGTGCATTTTCCTGACGAATAGTGATGTTGAACATTTTTTCATATATTTGTTGACCATTTGTATGTCTTGAAAAATGTCTGTTCAGATCATTTCCCCATTTTTCAATTGGATTGTTTCTTTTTTTTTTTTTTTGAGACAGAGTCTCACTCTTTTTGCCTGGGCTAGAGTGAGTGCCATGGTGTCAGCCTAGCTCACAGCAACCTCACACTCCTGGGCTCAAGCAATCCTTCTGCCTCAGCCTCCCGAGTAGCTGGGACTACAGGCATGCGCCACCATGCCCGGCTAATTTTTTCTATATGCCACCATGCCCGGCTAATTTTTCTATTTTTAGTAGAGGCGGGGTCTCGCTCTTGCTCAGGCTGGTTTTCAAACTCCTGAGCTCAAACAATCCACCCGCCTCAGCCTCCCAGAGTGCTAGGATTATAGGCGTGAGCCACCGCGCCCGGCCGGATTGTTTCTTTTTTTGCTTTTGAGATGTTTCAGTTTCTTGTATATTCTGGATATTAATCCCCTGTCAGATGAGTAGTTTGAAAATATTTTCTCTAATTCTGGAGGTTGTTTTTTTCCTTTTCCTTTTCTTTCCTCTCTTTCTTTCTTTCTTTTTTTTTTGGAGATAGGGTCTCGCTCTGTCACCCAAGCTAGATTGCAGTGGTGTGATCA